GAGGTACTGTTTGAAGTATATGTGAAGGAAATCTGGCCTTGGACAGATTTATTGTTAGAAAAAAAGTGTGTTTTTAGAGCCTTTCACATAACTGTGGATATTTTTTGTTATCACACTGAAACTTGGCAAATGTTAAAACAGAAGTTGATGGAAGAAAGATTGTATTGTGGAATCTGAACCCATATTGATGGACTTAGCATAAGTCTTGCTGAAGACAAAAATCAACATTTTTAAGTAACCACAAATACTTTGATCTGTTTTTCTTTAATTGGTAGGCTTGCTTCACTCACTTTTTAAGAAGATGTCTACCATACCCACGTGTGAATAAGTAAAGTTTGTATATGTGTTCTTTTAAGTAAAAATGATGTGTCATGAAAAAAGTAGCTTGTTTAGCTGACAACTCAGTGGTCAGAATGCTTTTTCTTGAGTGATAATGATATCTTGAATGATAGTATAATATCATATTATTCTATGATAATATTTTGTTGAGCAGCAGTAGTTTTTTGTGTGTTCTATCACAGAATTTTAAAAGTATAAGGGTGAAGATTAAAACTTTATTTTTTTTTACTTCTTCATTAAAGACCATCTTAAGTGAAAAGCCTTTTTTTAATAATAATGTTGACGTTTACACTGACTAGTACGGGTAGGGATTGTTGTGTTGATTCCTGCTAAGGCACTGGCGTTTTTATCTACCACTGTTAGTGCACCATCAGTGGAAGAAAGCAAACAGCATTTTAGTATTATTCTCAGGGCCCACAGGAGTCCCTTAAAATACATCATCTGAACATAATCAGGTTTGCTTCTTTCTAGTTTGTGTGTGTTTTGTTTGGGCCCTGCTTTGAGAACTGCTGTTGAACAGTTTCGCTCAGTATTCGAGACTCAGTCATTACTGAATTTTTCTGGAAATCTCAGTTTGATTTTTTTTTCTTCCTTCAGCATTTTGTTAGAGTATTTAATGCAGTGTGATGGTGTGAGCTTCTTGAGGATATATACTTGGTGCATAGTCCCTGGATTACAGTACATGAACAAAAAAATGTTTGTGGAATGATTGAGGTAGTTGACACAGATATTTAAGAGAACTCCTAACCTAGCCTGGAATCTTTACCAAAAGAAAAAATGGCCCTATATACCTCTGTTTAGAATTCTTGAAATGTTTTTGCGCATAGAACATTAAATATTATTTACAGTATTGACCCATAGTTATACTACATAAAAGATAAAATTATACCTACCAATCTGTGTGTGAGACTAGGACTTTCATTAAAGTTAATGCTGAAATGGATCAAAGAGCAAGTTTGAATATCTCTGTTCAAAAAACCTTTTAAATTAGGAATAGAAAGACCCTTAAAAGCATTTTAAAAGGGGAATTCCCTGGCAGTCTAATGATGAAGACTGTTCTTCCAAGGCAGGGAACACGAGTTCCATCCCTGGTCAGGAAACTAAGATCCCACATGCATCATGACATGGGCCTCCACCCCCCCAAGAAAATAAAATAATCAGTCTTAACCTGATAGACTTGGTCTTATTAAATGTTGTAAATAAACCATTCCCATTAAAATTAGGAAACAGATTGGGTTGACAACAGTTGCTTGGTGTTAATTCTGCTACTGCAGTCAGATAAAATACTAAACAAAACATACACAAATTAGAAATAAGCATAGTTTATTATTTTCAGGTTATATTGTCCACTTGAAAAATTTGAGACCATTTTGAAAATTATAATAATCAAGAAGAGTTAAAGAAAATTAGCTGTTCTAAACAGAAAAAAATCAAATTTTAAAAGCATTTCAGGAGTAATTTATTGGACATATAATGAAAAACCCTGTTTACAAAAGGATCTCAAAGTTATGATTTCTCTTGTAATTGAGGTCATTTATGCAGATAAATAATTTGGACAAGTTATTTAGTTAGAACATGGACATTTAATGTCAGTACTTTTAGCTTGAGACTCTTAGGTGAGACCTGTTATTTGAATGAATTTGTTACAGAATTTTTAAAAGATAAAGTTTTAAGTCAGCTCTTATTTTTGCCTCATAATAATTTCTGATTAGTGCTTTGTTATATCTTAAAACATTTTTAGGTTTCAGGTATAGGAATTATATTGAAACACATTTTCATAAGATTTCTTTTTTAAAGTTTTTTTGGTTATGAGAAATTTCAAACTTAGAAGTTGAGCTAATAGCATATTAAATCCCAAGCATCTGTTACCTAAATTTTAAAAATTACTAGTTTTGCTCAATTCTATTTTTCCCCCCTTTTGTGAATGTTTTAAAGCATGTATGAGATACATTATTTCACTCCTATATACTTCCATATGCATGCTGCCATAAAAAAGTACTATAGACTGGGTGGCATGAACAGTAGACACTTATTTTCTCACATTTCTAGAGGATAGAGGTCTCAGATGAGGGTGCCAGCATGGTTGGGTTCTGGTGAGGGCCATCCTCCTGGTTTGCGGATGGCTTTCTTGCAGAGTTCTCACTGCGGAAGAGAGAGTAAATTCTCAGATTTATCTTCTTTTTAGGGCGCTAATCCTCTCATAAGAGCCTTATGCTCATGATCTCATCTGAACCTAATTATTTACCAAAGGCCCCATCGCCAAATACTATCACGGTGTTGGTTTTGGGTTTCAGTGTATGAATTTTGGGCTGAGGAGATGGGACACAATTCAGTTCATGGCTGTATCTACAACACTTGTTTATGTTCTTATACATAATTCCAATGCTTTATCATACCTAACCGAATTAATAAAAATCTTTGTTGTCATCTGAAACCAAATCTATATTCACATTTCCACAGTTACCTAAAGGGTTTTTTTTTTTTCCCCCACAGTGGATTTGTTAAAATTGGGATCCAGAAATAAGTCTATGTGTTCTATTGCTATGCTTTTCAGATCTGGGTAACTAAAAGAATGATTTTAAAAGCAGTGCAGTGGAACAACTGACTTTTTATTCCATCAACAGTTGTATAAAGAACACAATGAGGAAGGAGAGGGGAGGGACTGCTATGGAGTAAAAGTTACTTAAAATGTAACAGAAACCGATGTAATATGTGAGTCCCCCCTTTGGATCTTTATTTTAATAGCTCAGCTGTAAAAAGGTGGCAATATCATGAGTTCTCTAGCTCCAATAGTTTAGAAAATAGGAGCATATAAACATTTGAGTTGTGAAGAAAAATTCTGAAAGTATCAATGTTTTAATTAAATAAGCATTTTTATAGTTCTCATAAGTTTATAACAGTCCTAACACACTAATGTAAATGTTATGTGAGGATATTGTTAAAAGCCAAGGAACTGTTGACTCATGATACAGCTTTACAAATTTCTCCAAAGCTGAATTCATCACAGTAGTTTTATAAAATTTTACAAAGAACACTTAAGATATTTTTGACAGTGAATATTTGAGGTGAAATGACATTATCCAAATATGATTTTAACCAGTAGGTGGCAACAAATCAATATCTGAATTTAGTTTTAAGAAAATTCTTAGGGAAATAGTTTGTCATTGACAAGGTGCATTTGATTTTTCGCCACAAATATTTTGTGCTTACATCTTTAATACATGATTTTTAATAATATAGATTTTATTTTATATTATATGCATAGTGCATTGTAAAGATGTGATTGATTTTTGATAGTTGAATTTATTTTATTTATTTTTTTAGTTCTACCACTTTATTTCTACCAACCCATCTCCCTCCACCCTCGTGCACACATGCTCAGTCACGTAACCCCATGGACTGCAGCCCGCCAGGCTCCTCTGTCCATGGACTTTTCCAGGCAAGAGTACTGGAGTGGGTTGCATTTCCTTCTCCATATAGTTGCATTTAAAAACTGAGCAGTATTGCAGTTACTTGGTTTATTACTTGATAGAAACCAGTAGTCAATGATGATTTGAAGAATTATTCTTTTGTCTTGCATTTTTTAAAGTTTAATGTAATGATATTTAACTTAATGCAAATAAGCTAATGCTTTTAAGGAAAACTTTGTAGAACTGTGTGATAGAAAAAATTGGGAAAAATCAGTGTTTATCAGTAAGGGTTATATTTGTGTGATTATTGTAATGTAAATGCTCTAGATCTATTGTCATTTTTATCAACTGTACCTAACAGCATTGCATCAGAAAGTTTGACACATGACACAAGAATTGTAGCATCCTGGTGAAGTTTTCCAGTGACTCAGTTCCTTATTTTGTTGATGGATATGTGTATATTTTCTTCTTTCTGTTTCTCTCTTGTAAAACTATGAAAATGGGTTGGCGGGGTTATACCAGAAAGTTAATGGTGTAACTTTGGAAGTAGGAGAGGAGGTTGGGGTTCAAGAATTTGCTTTAAAGAGTTAACTTAGCTATTTTTTGTAATATTAATAGTTGTTCATTCTGAAGAGGGAGAATGAATCTTTGTTAAAGTACCATTTGTTTTTTTCTGTGTCATTTGAATTAAAATAGACACAATTGAACGTAAGTAATTTTGATGAGAGCAACTAGTGATTATAAAATGTTAATTGTGATTTCATGTTAAAAATGTAAAGATATATACATCTTGCATTTTGTCCATTATCTGTATATATAAACTAAATGTCATTATTTGATACTTGATAGAGTAAACATTTTGGAGAATTATTCAGTCTATACTCATCTTTTTGATGTAAATTTATTCATCATAATTTATATGGATACACATTTGTAGGCTTTTGCTGGTTTCTTATTTTTTATTTTATGAATGTAACTTCTGTAGATATCTTTTGTGCAGTTATTATCCCTTTTTTAAAAATTGAAGTAAAGTTGATTTATAATGCTGTATTTTTGCTTTCCAATAAAGTAATTCAGTTATATGTGCAGTCTTTTTTAAATATTCTTTTCTGTTATGGTTTATCATAGGATATTGAATATAATTCTCTGTGCTATAAGTAGGACCTTGCTGCTTACCCATTCTATATATAAAAGTTTACATTTAGATTGTCTTTATTTTTTTTATTTTTTATTTTTTTTTAATAGGCACTGGAGTCATGGAAAAATAACGTTTATTCTACTAGGAATGCCAACTTATTGAGTATTCTCCAAAGTGGAAATTACACAACGCCATTTCAGGAACAGACTGCTCAACCCACCCTCAACATCCACAAATGACTATCACAATAGTTAAACCACATCAAAACAGTCCAACATAATTAGGCTTCAATATATTGGACCATTATGTTCTTCTAAGATGCTAATAAACCAAAACCAGAAATATTAACATCAAAAGAAAAGATATTACTTGAGGCTAATTATCATACAGATTGTTAGTTCCTTGCTGTATCCCATCCAGAACATTAATAAAGGAAATATTTTACTGCAAAGAAAATTTTATTTTATATATATTACTAGTCATGAATTTGTCATTATAACATAAATGCTGTCCAATGCCATTAACCAAATGGCATGACCATTTTATGTCCACAATTCACTTCTGTATTTACAAACAGTTTTCATGACTTATAAAAGTATGTCTCTCAGTGAAGGTTTAACGTTGAGATGCAACCTAGCATCCATAATAATATTTGCTGTTCTGCAGATATCAATGTAGGACAGAAGTATTTACTCCCCTTTCATCTGAGTGACACGTAGGGGAAAAAAAAGATCAACAATTTACAAGTTCTAAGTCTCCAAAGAAGATTTCCAGATGCACTTAAAGAATTGCTTACAGACAGTAAGAGTTTTAAGAAACATCCTCCATGTCCACATCCTCTTGTAATTTCTGTACCATTTTGTCTTCCAGCTGCTTTCCTTTGCCTGCAAGAGAGGCCCGGATAAGATGGATGTTTTGCTTGACCTCTTTAACGTCCTGAACTTTCTGTAGTTCTTTACTTTTCTTGAACCTGTTCATTATAAATTTAGCTTGTCGCTTCTGTTTGATCTCTTCAACTCTCTTCATTGCATCAATGGTTTTATTCCATAGTGCTCGCTGGTATTTAACAGGTTCATTTCTACGTTTTTCAAATTCAAATGAATTATCCACCGTGAGCTCTTTACCAGCTGCTTTCCGGAACGCTTTAGTCCATCTGACCTTGCGAGGATTGCGCTTCTTTTTGAAGTTTTTATGGCACTTGGATTTACAAAATCTGAACACCTTGCAATCATTATGAATGAACATCATGCCGTGGCCTGGGTAGATAGGGCCCGAACAGAAATAACACTTTTCAATCCGCATGTTGAATGCGTGTGGAAACTCGCCGGCCGAACACCCAGCTGAAGAGTTAGATTGTCTTTATAAAGGGTAAAGTAATGTGCAATTCTGCTGATGTGTGTATGTACTGCCTTCTCCCCATCCCTGGCTACTTTTGGCTTCATACGTGATTTAATTTTGTAGTTGGATAAATGCAAGTGGCTGTCAGGAATGCACTTCACCTGCTTAATGATATATTTTGCTTAGGGACTTGTGTGCTCCATACTTTAAAATGCCCTCTTATGTAACTTACCCTTGTTTTGTTTTCTCATTCATGGTGACCCTGGGTTCTTGGCTGCCTGTGGCCTTCGCACTGCTGTTTTACCTATCCTTCATTTGGCTAGTTTGTTTGTTTCTTTAAATATTAAAAAAAATTATTTGTGCCAGGTCTTAGTTGCAGCACTGGGATCTTCAGTCTTGGTGTGTGGCATGTGGGATTTTTTAATTAGAGCATGTGACATCTGATTCCCTAACCAGGAATCTAACTCAGGGCCCCTATATTGGGCACCGAATCCCAGCCACTGAACCACCAGGGAGATCTGGCTGGTTTCTTATTCTTCCTCCTTGCATCAGCTTTGATGTGCTTTAAGAAAATTTTTTATAACCGTTGCACCTACAGTGCATCTTCAGTTGTGTTCTCTTGGAGCAGTGCATCTTTTCCTCTGTAGTGTTTACAGGATAATTCCATTGCTTTTTGTGCTTTTTGCCCATCTGCCTACTAGACTTGAGCTCTGTGAGACCAAGGGCCTATGTGCTCTATGCAAACCCTACACAATTTCAGGGCCTACGGCAGTGCTTGGAATGTTGTGTTCATTTAATAAATAGTTGTTGAATGAATGAACTTGAAAGATTTAAGACTTACATGTCAGAACTCATTTAACTATCTTCTGTTCTTTCTGTATTAATGAATTTTTCTCTCCAAAGTTAGAGTATGCTCTCAGGATCAAAACTTTGTTTTATGGATTATTCTTTATGTTTAGCTCTCTGACACATCTGGAAGTTATTGTAGAATGTCGTGTTAGGTATAATCCAGAGTGATATGTAATACCCATTTGCTGTAAACTACACTTATTGTGCATTTCTTATTGTTAGTTACTGAGAACTTAAAATGTAAATCTGTAGAGAAATCGTTTTAGTCCATTAATGAATATCTTTTCTGTTTCAAGAGAAAAATCTGTTTTTTGTTTTTGACTTTTTTTTTCCCCCTGGCCACGTGGCTTGGATTTTAATTCTCTCCCAGGAATTGAACCCAAGCCCTCTGCAGTGAAAGTGTGAAGTCCTAAGCACTGGACCACCAGGGAATTCCCTAGAAAAATCTACTTTTAAACTAATAGATTTTCAGTTAGCATGGTAGCATGAATATATAATAATTACCATTTAAATTATTTACTTTTTATCAAACCCATCTCAATTTTACCATCAAAGGAGCAAGTTACAGAAAATACGTAGTTTTGTCCTGCGTTTCATGTAAACTCTGTGGTGTTGTCCTTTTCACATTTGGGTAGGTTTCATGTTTTTAGGTTAAGTAGTACTTTGTATTTTATCTGTTCATCCATCCTACAACTTTATTCTTTGCTCAGCTGTTTGAGAGTATGTTATAGACATACTAACTTCACCCCTAAGTAGTTCAGCATGTCTCCTAAGAAGAGAGATTTTTCCTACAATACAGTCATAAAGTAAGTGTGACTCTCAGGCAATTTAGTCTTGGTAGTACAGTATTTTCATCTCATGTATGTGTTATGTGCTCAGTTGTGTCTGACTCTCTGCGACATCATAGACTGTAGCCTGCCAGGCTCCTCTGTCCATGGGCTTTCCTAGGCGGGAATACTGGGGTGGGTTGCCATTTCCTGCTCCAGGGGATCTTCCCGTCCCAGACCCATGTCTCCTGCATTGGCAGGTAGATTCTTTACTACTGAGCCACACACTGTGTGTGTGTGTGTGTGTGTACACATAAAATTTAAATCCAAGTTTACACATTGCATTTAGTTGTCATGTTTCTTAGTTCTCCTTAATATGGAGTAGTACTTCTGAAATTCTCTGTGATGAAGGACCAGTTTTTCCTTTTTTCCATTTTCTATGGACCTGTAAATTTGTAAAATATTTTTATTGTATAGTTGTATTTTATTATATGTATTTTTATAAAATACAGTAAAAAATTCTTAGGAAAATGGAAGAAATAAAGATTTAAAAATATAACTTATTTTAAAAATCAGATTCTACTTTGAAGTTGTTTTAAAAATCCCTGAACCTGTAATTTTTTTTTCTATACGGTCATGAGAGTTTAAAAAAGTCCAGGCCAGTTGTTTTATAGGTGCATCTTTTCATTTAGATTTGAGTGGTTGTTTTGTCATGATAAAAATCAGATAAATACTTTGACCAGAATACAGCATAGGAGATTTTATATCCTTCTCAGTGCCTCACAGATGGGGTACATAATTACTGCTAATGTTAATAACCACTTGATTAAAATGGTATCTTCCAGATTTTTTGATATCGTAGTGGTTACTTTTCCCTTTTAAAATTAGTAAGATACTTTGAGACTGTGTGAATATCTGTTCTTTTATTTATACTGTGGCTCTAATATACCACGATGTTTCTTGATTCAGTCAGCTGTGGGTTGCCAGGTGATAATTGTTACCTTTAACGTTGACTAGTTGTCATTGTTTTGAAGAGAAGAGCTTTTCCTGGTCTCACAGAGTTTGTAAGCCACTGAGTAGAGACCAGCCCTGTCTTTGCCTTTTCTGCAGGATGCGTGTCTGGTGTGGAGGTGATAGGACTGGCTGTCTGTGTCTGACATCTCCCACTCCCCTTTCTGTACCTTCTCCGTCACTGCTCTTTGTTCTGTTTCCCGTTTTCTTGTTTTCCCTGGACTCCCTGGTTCAGAACTGTGTCCAGGCCTGTGAGGGCTCTATCTCCTTTTTTTTCTCACTGTCAAAACTGATTTATTCAGTCTGCATTAATGCATGAGGTTTTGTTGTTTTATTTAACTTTTCATACCTGTTTGTATTTTAAGAGATTTCTAATAAGGTGAGTGAATAGATTAGATGACTAGTAGCCAGTGTGACATGGTGAAATATGAAGGAAAAAAGAAGAAAATTTGTAGGGGGTGGTTAATGCTGGGAAGCAGCCCATCCTGTGATCAATGTCATGTAGGCTCATTTCTGAGACTGGGACCCTAAGTCACGCCTTTTTTGTTGTTGTTAATACCTTTTACTACTGGACTGCAGATTAATTTAAAGCCCCCGACCCCTGACCCCTAATCTCTTGTATGATCCCAGTCTGTTTGTATGATGTTGTCATTACAAAGGTCCGTCTAGTCAAAGCTGTGGTTTTTCCAGTGGTCATGTATGGATGTGAGATTTGACCATAAAGAAAGCTGAGCGCTGAAGAATTGATGCTTTTGAACTGTGGTGTTGGAGAAGACTCTTGAGAGTCCCTTGGACAGCAAGGAGATCAAACCAGTCCATCCTAAAGGAAATCAACCCTGAATATTCATTGGAAGGACTGATGCTGAACCTGAAGCTCCAGTGCTTTGTCTACCTGATGCAAAGAACTGACTCTTTGGAAAAGACCCTGATGCTGGGAAGGATTGAAGGCAGGAGGAGAAGGGAACAACAGAGGATGAGATGGTTGGATGGCATCACCAACTCAATGGACATGAGTTTGAGTAGACTCCAGGAGTTGGTGATGGACAGGGAGGCCTGGCGTGCTGCAGTCCATGGGGTCGCAAAGAAGTGGACACGACTGAGCGACTGAACTGAGCCAAGAGGTAGATACAGTTATTTGTGTGGCTCCTTTGGAAAGTAGCAGTCTGTATATTTGGTATCTTCTAGAAGAAACTCTCGTATGTTTGAGAGTTCTTTAAATTAGCTCATCCAAATTTAGTGTATCTGTCTTCCTCCGATTCAGCAAATATTAGGGACTTGGTATAAGTGGGCATTGCTTGGCACTGGGGGTACAATAATGGGCAAGCAGATGTGGCCTTACCCTGCAGCATAGTGTATTCTAGTTGGGGAGTCAGATGAGTAAGACAGTTACACTTCTCAAAGTGAATTAACAGTGATGGGAGTAGAATAAGATGCTATGGGAAAACTACCTGAATTTGGCATGGAAAAGGAACATTTCTTGAAGACCAGGATGTGGGGAGAGGTGAAAAATCAGGACACTGTGGCACTGCTTCTGTGAACAGGTAGTAAGTATTTTTGCCTTTTCTGGCCACACCTCTGTTGCAGCTACTTGACCCTGTGATTGCAGCGCAAAATCAGCCAGAGACAGTAAAAAAATGAATGAGTGTGGTAATGTTTGAGTCAGACTTTATTTCTGGACAGTGTACTTTGAATTATGTTTAATTTTCAGGTGTAATGAAATATTCTTTTTATTTAATTCCCCCCCAACCATTTAAAAATGTAAAAACCATTTTTAGCTCACATGTAAGAAAAACAGATGGTGGGCTGTAGGCTCCTAAATCTTGGAATATGGTGCTAAAAATCCCGTTATCAATTCTATAAAATTGATGCTGTTATGTAATATATCTGTAGTCAGTGCATGTGCTAGTCTGTTAGTAAGATATACATTTGTAGGTAGGATAGAAAACTATGGTATTTCTGCGCCTCTTGCTATTTTTTTAAAACATTCCCATAATTCTTTAAGTTGAAAGTAAAGGATGTTGAGTATTAATGAAGGTACACATGCAGAGACACTTGCCTGGTATAATAGTAAATTTAGAAGGCCCTGATTCCAGTCATGATCTTGTCAGTTATTGGCTCTGTAATGTTGAGCAGGTCATTACACTTTTCTGAGCCTTATTTGTGAAAAAGAGAAGCTTAACACAGATAGTGCTCAGAATTACTGTAAATAATAGCATACTTTAAAGCACCATGTAGAGGGATCGGGTGGAGAGGGAGGTGGGAGGGGGGACTGGGATGGGGAATACATGTAAATCCATGGCTAATTCATTTCAATGTATGACAAAAACTACTGTAATGATGTAAAGTAATTAGCCTCCAACTAATAAAAATAAATGGAAAAAAAAAAGAAAAAAAAATAAAGCACCATGTAGTGTCAGTATCT